AAGTAACACCAAGTCAAAGTTCAAGTACAATTTCTAGACAGAAAGTCTAGGAGAATTACTAAAACCATGAATGAGCCCCATATACCAGAATACAATAGCAGCTGTTACCAATGGCTTCTACTTATATAATAAAAACGCTGTTTCCCCAACATAAGATGCTTATCTTGAAAAATAAAAACAACAGCCAAATAATCGTGATGATCTTGTTTCACATTAGTGTACCAAAATTATCAAAAGGATAGAAAATGCGCATTCTTGAGTGAAAACAAATTTACCCGTTTAGAGTCGCCATGTAATTCAATAAAGCGAAACGCAAAGAGACTCCCAAAATATATTATTCATGTATAAACAAGTAAATAGATTCTGTCACCCTGGTAATATTATATTGAAATACATGTTTGACCTAGCTAATGGAAAATTAATCAGTTTATCTTTCCTATTTAAATATCTGTTCTTTTTAAGTTTGATTTTAATTTTAAAAAATCAAAACGAATACATAAAAAAAACTATTCTGCCCAGAAAATAGGCTTTAACCAAATGGTAAACTGAGAGGTTAATTGAAAACTTTGTAAAGACTCACTTTAAAGGGACAATAACACTCTTGCTGGCTTGAAAGCTCCAGAAAATAAATAATATCTCTATCTAAGTACTAGATGTTTAAGTGTCCTACCTGTTGTGTAAATTATCCATTACATCCTATTTTACTTGTCCAGAGGGTTCGAAAATATTTTTAAATCGAAGTTTCATTTGAAAAGGTTTACGTTAGACGTTTCAAACCATTATGTTGAATTTTTCAAAATTTTTAAATAAGGTGTGTTAAGATGAAATTTGTATCATCAATTAATTGAAATATTCTAAAATAGTACAATTTGTTGACCAGAATAAAGATTGGGACATATTATTCAGTTACAACAAGAGTGGTATTGGGCCTTTAAAGCGTATATTTTTAACAATATAATAGTTTAATTTTGATTATATATTTCGCGCGCTCTGGACCGCTGCTTTTAAGCGAGTATTTTGAAAGGGGGGGGGGGGGGGTATTAGATAATTTGTGTTATTCTGTTTTCCCTTAGTATTTAAAGATGCATTATGTAATAAGTTAATCTGCCTATTGCAGATCCTCTTTTTGGCTTCAAATGTTATATTATTATTTAAATATTTATTCATATGGCAAGCACATAATCAACTCTCTGGCTCCGATTTTAAGTAGATTACAACGCGGCGATCATTTTAAGAGGTTAACTATAAAATAGATAATCGAGACTTAGTCAAGTGCCGTTGCTACAATAATAAACGGTCTATGATACATTTTGTCAAAAACTGTCAATGTATTCATTTTAGAACAGTACAAAGGGACCAGAATACGGGTCAATTTGGTGGTCTGTATCCAATAGTAATGCAATGTTAATTCAGTGCTATCTCTCGGTCTATAAGATTTGTTTGTTTATCTTGATAATCTTAATCTTTACAACCATGAAGAACCCAACAGGTTACCATATTTGTGATAAAAACATTAAAGCTTCGCTTCATTTTTCGGACAGGGTACCATAATATAGATATAAGTATGTTAAAGATACTTTATGGGAGATTAGATAAAGAGCTGGCAGTTCTCACTATAATAGTGAAAAACTAGATAATGTAAAGGGAATTTGCTGAAAATTTTAGTCAAATTGATCTACTCTGAACCGAGAATTTAGCGATTGAATTTTGGGCCTAGCCTCGATCATCATTACTAAAGTCGTCACGATAAAAAACATAGTCTCGATTATCCACTTTTTGATTTAATCATAAATGGGCGTTGAGCAGCAGATCAGTTCCTAACCCAGTAAATATCGCAGGCTAGCGATGACATCGAGAGTTGATTATGGTCTGGATGAGTTAATTAATGTCTAATTAATAATTTAGATAAAATTTCAAGACTAAAGAAAGACCTGCAATAGGCAGATTTACCTCTTGCAGAATGCATGTTTAAACAGCAGGAATATGGTTAAACAGATGCAGGTAAGATACATTATGGGAGATAAGATAACGAGCTGGCAGTTCTCATTATAATATTAACAGAACACAGTTTTTATGGGATACAATCACTAGTTTATTCTAAAAGCACGACGTTTCGACAAGTATCCTCTTATCGTTATCAAGAGGATACTTGTCGAAACGTCGTGCTTTTAGAATAAACTAGTGATTGTATCCCATAAAAACTGTGTTCTGTTAATGTGTTCCCCGATCGCTAAATGCCACTAAAAGAATATACTCATTATAATAGTTACAAACTTGATAATGTAAAGGCAATTTGCTGAAAACTTCAGTCAAATTGATCCACTATGAACCGAGAATTAAGCGATTGAAATTTCAGCCTAGCCTCGATCATCATTACTAAAGTCTGTACGATAAAAAACATGGTCTTGATCATCCAAAATTATGAATGGAAGTCGAGCAGCAAATGTGATCATAATCCAGTAATAAATATCACAGGCTAGCGATGCCATCGAGAGTTGATTATGGCCTGGATAAGTTAATTAATGTCTAACTAATAATCTAGATAACGTTTCAGACCTAAAGAAAGACCTGCAATTGGCAGATTTAACTCTTGCATAATGTATGTTTAATATTAAAATGACAATTTGCCCGAAATTAAGTTCTAGATAGCGGCGCGGAAACTATATTTGAGTGGGTTGGAAGATTTTAAACATTCTAGTGGGCCAGGGGTTTCCCACCGCCACGGGAAATTTGTGGGAAATTCCAAGAGTCATTTTATAGTATATTTGCGGTAATATACCTACTAGATACCTACCCCTGACGGATAAAATATACATGTCTAGATATTTATATTGCTTCGTTACTGGAGACTAATAACATAGTCCTATGTTGAAGAATGCAAAATTACCTATGAACAAAAACTAAAAAATGTGCGTTGGCAAAATATTCCTTTTGCCGACCACCTGTAAAAACTGGTCGGCGAACAACAACCCAGTAAACCAGGTTTCCGCGCCACAGGTTCCAGATGCTTGAGATATTTGGCGAGATGTGCTAATACTTCTTTGAAAAATATTTATTACAGAAGTGTACTAGGGCAGTCATCAAGGTATTAAGATGGTGCTGCAATGGCCGTCATGATACTACCCGTCTAATATGTGGCTGATTTTTTTCAACTTGCAACAGCATTACATGATTAATGGTTCGAGCCTTATCTCGCCACGCCTTTTATGCCAGATCAACCAACTCTATATATTTCGCATACTATTGTTTATTAACACGTTCAGTCACATAAAAAAAAATAAAAAAAAATAATCCTGCATTGAAAGTAACATGGAGTCAGATTCTTCCTTGAGCGTCCAAGCTTCACAATATTGTAGTGTGCAGGGAATTAAAAATCGCTCAAATGACAAACATATATTGTAACGATACGTCTAAACCATGTTTTTTCTAATTAAGAAATAAAATCTTTTTCTGAAATAGTATACTGTATAATCATATACAGACCAGTTGTCATACATGTATAACGTCACAGGCCAAATGGTGGATTGTTATTATCTATATCGCATGACATTATTAGCAATAAGAGCGTGTTATTCGTTTTGCTACACAGCAAAGCCGTTTACCGTGGGATTTGCAAGTCTGTAAAATACACGGGCACATTACTAACAAATTTATCGGAAATTTACACGCGATACTGGGCTTTCAACAAAATAAAGTATAGTGACTTACACGTTTGTAATTATCCTAGATTACAGCTGCATTATGTAAGAGATAATTCTGCCTATTGCAGGCCTTTCTATCTTTGGCTAAAATGTTATATAAATTATTAATTAGACATATATTCACATGACAAGCCCATAATCAACTCTTTAGGGAATCGGATGGTCGTGATTTTTGTTGGATTGAAACACGATCGCTATTTAATAATTTTAATTTTAAAATGGATAATCGGCATTTGGTTTATTACCGTATCAATGGTATCAATCATAATCGAGACTACGCTATTCTTATCAAAGTTTCAAACATTCATAACTTCGATCAGAATAAACTACTTTGAGTGGCATTTTCAATATATTCCCTTTTCCTTATCTATTTTTAAACTATAATAGCGAAAACTGTCAGCTCTTTATCTAGATCTTACATAGTACCTCTTATTCGTTTTTTTTATAGTTCAAAATTTCGTTTCATTTGTCTTCACTACATCAAAATTTAAAACAAAAAAACGAAACGAAATATAGATCTATTTTTTTTATTAGATTGTAAGGTAAATAATGTGTTCTTTCGGTATTTAGAGCAGAAGTATTTATATTAAGTACAAAATCTTTGATAAGTGATAATGATGTGATTGCTCAGGGCCAGCTTGTTCGTATCCGGATATTTGTCATGACTTGTCAAACACGTCAACATCAATAATTTGTTGAACTATATTCAGGCCATAATAATATAGTTTAGTTTAAACCATACGGATGTTTATAAAATCCAATATATATTTAGATAGATACGTAAGATAAAATAGCGAAACTGTGGAAATTTTCTATGGCGCAGGAAATTAAATTTACAAATAAAATAAATAAACTAAATTACTAATAAATCTAAACATTCAAATCAATTTAAAATCTTATAAATTCCACTAATATATAAACTATAATTCCTAATCGACAAGAAATAACTTTATAATTCACTGTTATGCATAAATTAAAATGAATGATATATTACTGAGGAAAAGCTTATCCGAGCAACATGGGGTTACTAGCTGGGATCCTTATCAGAATGCCCACACAGTATTTGTCACCAATCATCAAAGTCATCAAATAAAACTGTTAGGAAAGTTTATCCATATAATTTTCAACACCTTGAAGAATCCGTGAAATTTTAATGGAAAATAAATGAGAAAATCATTATTTTAGACAGAATAATTTTACAGGACAAAATGTTGACCTAACTAATTTAGAACGCCTGAAAACATTCACATGACTATCAAGTTTTGTCTTTATTATACTATATCAGTAATTGGTACTTACATACGCTATCATGGGTAGGTTCCAGGCAGCAGCTACCCTAGCTTCCACTGTACAGCTATCTTCAGGACCAAAAAATGCTACAGCTCCTTTACTCCATTGTTCCGTTAACCTGGCAGTTGATATTAAAGTGTCATCCCAGGTGTTATTCCATATAAAATTTATATTAATATCCGGTAACAGAGATAGATTGCTGTTGATTTCATCCACAGCGTATGTTATAGCCCCTGATATCACCCGCCCTTGCTTTCCACGTACTAAACCCTTGGCTTTGTCCACGGTTAGGTATCCTAGAGTTATGTTTTGCACTCCACTGCTTGATGAAACCTCCAAAATAATAATCCACATAAAAGTAAGGGTTAAACTTGTTAGAGGTAAGAACTGTTGATAACACATCGCGGTATAGCATCACGATAACTATGTACAACAAATGTATGTGCTTATACCTCTATTCGTCTGGAATAGATAAACACAAAGCCCAACGTGGATAAACTAATAAAGCACTATCACTCGCCTTTTGACGGATATACATCCAGTTATTCCACATCGGTTCTGGTGAGAGATTAAGCCTAATCGGGGATCAGCTTGCCTCAATGCAGATGATTCGCTCGATCTATAAAGATTTTCAGCTGACAACATCACCGCACAACTTATGTTAACACTGTCGGCACCTGTTTTGCGTTATCGATATATATATACACACGTTATTTGGATTTTATTCCTCTCTTCCGCTAGGGGTAAGGACGATTCCCAATTACTTTAAAAAAAAATAATTAGTTACTTATACTCTACATTGTATTCTTATCAATCTTAATTATTGAATTATCATGCTTATCTTAATTTCACAATTAACTTAATTTGCACGTGATAATGTTCCAAGTTTGTTTATTTTTTTACAAGTATGTTTTAATAAACACGAACGTGTTCACAATGGTAATTCAAATTTCCAGCCACAATTTCCAACCACAATCTCCAGTTCAAAGTGCTTATTAATTTTTAAAACCACTTACTATACTATACGAAAGGGTATAGTAATCAGACACATATATCACAATTTGGCAGACAGTTTCATCCTCTGGATTAAAAAGGACTCGCGTTGGAGGATACTAATCTTGGACGTACAACACGCGACACGAAATCTCATCTGGTAGTCAACTGGGAATCTTTTAGTCAGTAGAAACTTGACAACACCGTATGAGTCTACTGCATTCTCTTCTTAGATATTGGCGTTCCCTCGGTGTTTCTTCCGATCCATATAATAGATTTTTTTATGTTTATTTGCAAACCTCGTGCTCTGCGCCCATAATCCTCAACATCATAAGTGTTTGGTTACAGATCTTGACTAAAGAACTCATTAACAATATGATTCGCCGCGTATATTCTAACTGCTGGAACATTTTATATAATATACATTATTTATCTATTCAATAATAACTCGTCTAAAACTTTTAAAATAATTTGTATAGACATAATTTCAATCAATCACGATATAGTTATCACTATCCACAATGTTTTAAACAAGCTCTGTTTTAAAAAAAAGATGCGTGTTTAGGCTAATTCATTATTGGATTTGCAAAAGATTAAAAAAGGTCATTGACCTGATTGACGTATATCTGTCTTTATAAGTAATAAGACACAAACAGATGTATAAAGTATTCACTATGCCATTCACGCCTTTATACTCAATTAACAGATTACATTCACGTTTTTCTTTCAGAGTTAAGGCGCAAATTGAAGCATTTTTTTAACGCTACCGATGAAAAACGACAGATTATTTCGACGCTGATGGGAATTTATAAAACCTTTCTATCGATCACATACACATATCTGTTAATTATTTATGGTCGTTAAAACCCCTTTCCGCTCGACCAAGAAATGTTTTTGGATCCAATTAGTACGTGATCCTGAAAAGAGAATGCAACATAATTTAAATAAGATATGAGGAGGATCCGATAATTGTGTTTCTAGAAGCTTTATTAATATCACATTTCACCACAAAACGGGATAACGACATAGATGTACACATAATCTATAACAAAAGTAATTGGATTCATGAAATGTTTCAAAACCTTGCTAAAGTTTCCGCTCAATGGAGATGATATTGTCATCTTGGCTTTGTTACGGGATCAGCTCATATACCAATGCCCACGAGCTGTGTTCATGTGTGACCTATACTATACCCTGAACGGGTTGATTTCAATATGTGAGTTCCAAACCCACAAATCATTAACCAATGAAGGAAAACTCAGCCGTATTGAGTATCATAGCATATCATTAACACGACAATTGTTATAATGTTTATTACCCTATGGTATGCATTATCAAGTCATTTTACTATACATTTCACTGAGACAAATGTCGTTGTGCATTGACATATACAATAATGTCCTTGTTTTATTGTCACTGGGTTCGGGTCATAATTTTATTACAACTCAACTTAAAAAGTGCCCAAACTTGCAGATCATCGTCGGTCTAAAATATAATGACTTGAGAACACATAATTAGGCCTGTGTTTATGTAAGGTGTTTATTCATTTTGGCAAAAAGACAATATTTACATCAATTCAAATTTATAACCCTGGGCCCGGTTTTTCTTGGTTAAATATTTCATGCTTTTACATCTCAAAGGAATGAACTTTTAAAAGTCTTTCAAGTATATCGATTAGTATTAAGAAATCGATTTCAATATATAACACGTCATGTATATACATAATGTACGCCAAGATAGTTATAGCTATATGAAATTCCAAACATATAAGCATACCCGGCCTAATGTACGACATCCACCACGCCTTCTAGTATTCAATGAAACAGTGGGATGTTTTATTTTTCGCTCTTAAATCCTTAAAAATTTAAAAAAAACAATTCAGATATTCGGCATAGTATCTACCACGTCTTCTAGTATACACTGAAACAGTGGGGTGTTTTGTTCTTCACTCTGTTTTTGGACATGGGCGTACGAGTCAAGTGGGGGGGGGGGGCGCTGACCCCTCCCCCCCCCACTAATTTTCAACTTTCGTGCAATCTGACTTTTCGGGCAGACAGGTAAAGTGAAAACGAAAATCTAATAATAGACTAATTTTACTTCAAAGCATTTCGTCTGGAACCAGTCTACTTTGTGCGAGATCTTTCGGGCATCGATTTTTTTTTGTGAATGAAGCTGTAACAGTCCGATTGGATGGTTGGAATTCAGGTCGGCAAAGAGTGGGATTTCGGTTACAAAACGATTGGAAACTTTAAAGTTGCTTAACTCACGGGCTAAAATAGCGGTTACATTTTCAAGATTTTCTCGGAGAGGGCGAGGCATCCATACCTTGCGACGATTGATTGGTTATTTGGGATTCAGGTCAACCATCTAAGGTAGGTTATATTTGACCACATTGAAGTATTGTTGTATTAACGGACTGGAATTGTAAACGATTGATTGGTTGATTGGAATTCGAGTCAGCCACTGATAGGCTATATCAGACCACTTTTAAGTTCCTGTATTGGAAAACGCGTATGCGATTGTCAAATTATATTCTTGCAGGGGGGAGGGGTCCCTTACTCGCAGTTTGTACCCCGAATTATTTTCGGTTATTTCAGGTTCTGCCCACCCCTAACATTTATCGAGTCGGTACGCCTATGCTAAGCTCCTTAAATATTTTCAGAAACAATTTAGATACCCAGCAAACACACTGTACATTTCAAGAATGATCAACATGCATTCATTTGATCCTTATAATAAAACGTGTAAAGTAACATTTTATCATGCTTTAATGAGCCTGTCGCTTTGCTTTATACATGAGAAACAAACGCCGTGTAATTTATAGATAGCTATCCAGACAGAAATCAAGTATAATCAAGGGGAATTTAATAAAGTGATTTCGGGTTGTGATTGACTGGAGGCCGACGAATGATTGACAGATTTAATGTCAATATTAGTATCAGTATTTACACATTATATACTGCACTGAATAGAATATAATATACATTGACATATAACTAATGGCGGGCCGGCAGAAATGTCGACGATTAATGAGCAAGAACTATATCTTCACAGACAGCATTCCCTATAATGAAATTACCTTAAGGCCCGGATCCCTGGATTATATCGGTTTTTATTCCAATTTATGCAACATTCAGACATGGTTAAAGTAAACATTTTTTTTTCACTGATATTTTGATTATTATATTTACCCCATGCAACATATTGGTTGTTTAAATCTGTTTATCAGCGTCTATGTTTCAGAAGTATCAAACAAGATTACGTGTTTTTGCTAAATTAGTTTTTTTTAACCACTCTTCAACATGTTACACGAAAGAAAAGACATGTTATACAAGGAAAAGTTTTGTCTACAACAAGCGTTGTGTTTATTTGAAACGAAAGAAGTGCTGAACACTGTTATGCGAATACGATAAGAGATGAATGTCGCTAATTCGTAAGAAGATTATAAAATACCTAACCTAAAATCGATAAGAAAATACAAGATGATTGCGTCACGAATGCAATTAATTAGAAGGCAAACACGCGGACAAAACAAAACATCAGAGTCAACAAAAGGAGAGTAACAGTTAATTCTCGTCTAGCAACTTCTTAACTTTGCTTCGTCAATATTATAACAAATTATCAATATATCATTCATAATCCATTTGTTGTTTCTACTGATATCGTGTCTTTAATCTACTCTAACATGATTAGAAATATAACAGGGATATACGTTAACCTACTCTAAACAAAAACTATAATATTAGCAAGGATCACAAAACTAATCCAATACATTATTCCGTAATAACCTTACTTGTTTAAAACTGTTTATATATTGTTACAGCGACACCGACGGTATTGAATGAATGAAATGGGGTTTAACGTCTTACCTTACGTAAGGGATATTTTGCCTGGACAACAATTGGATTTCACCTGTCAAGGGTTCTTTTATGTGCACTCCAAAGTGTATATGGGACATCACTTTTTTTGACCCACCCGAACGACTATACAATATTCCTCGTCAGGCACCACTTACAAAAGGGAAACCACGCCGGTCTACACCGACTGGGGTCCCGGAACCTGCAGATTAGCGAGACAGGGCCTTCCTGACTGAACCACCATAAGTTTAACTGTAGCAGTTCCAGATTTTTAAAAATATATTTTAGTCATTGTATAGTGTAGAACTAGTTTCAAAAATGCACAACGCGTGGTACAATTCATATTTCTGAAGCAATGGCCCGAGAAATCCCTCTCTGGCCAATGCTGGACTGGCTTTTGATACTTAAGCTTTTGAGGGAGTGTGTCTATTCGGTGTATTCCTACGAAGGCGCAGTTACAGAGCGTGACCAAAATTAATTCTTCCCACGAAGGCGCAGATATCGACATGTCGGCTTTCGTTTGAAGAGAGGCATGTTGCTATTAGGACCCAATTAACGGTGTTAAAGATTTTATGAATTTATGTTCACTCTGAACCAACAATACTCTGGAAGGATAGCATGCAAGAAGCTAGTTGGAAAATCCCATCCGAATGTTTTTGAAATGATCACATTTTTACAACAAGAACAAAATATTAACCACCAAGGAAGAGATATAAATATGCTCAAATCCAAAGCCAGATCCAGGAATTAAAAGGAAGACACGAGGAAGAGGAATTGACTTTAGTATTAATTTTTGTTATAGTGTAGTTATGTTCTCATTTCTTATGCCAAAAATGATGCTAAAATTTTGGTTAATTAGTTACTTAGGGGATTTTGAAAGTGTAAATTCTTATCATAACAATCTATAACACCACTGTTACGATTGTAATCCATTTTAATCCCTAG